ATGCAGCTCGAGCGGCGCGGCCGGAGCGAGGTGCAGTCGACGCGGAGCGTGGTGCACGGTATCGTTTAACCGATCTTTATCCCCTTCCCGATCCCAAGCACCTCATTTCCCCGCTTGGGGATGTGCCCCTCGAAATTTGCCGGCATCATCTGGGGCGGCAAATCGGCCAGCGGGGCCCAGGCCACGCCAGTGCGGGTAAGGATCACTTGAACGATGCACAGGTGAGGCAGCTCGCTGACGACTTCCGGAGGCTGCGGGAGCTGGAGGGTGTCCGGGGCCTCGGCCGAAGATCCTCTATCCCCCCTCCTCCTATATGTCTTGCTCCTACCTCCTTCATCCTCCTCCTCCTTCTCCTCCATCTCCGCATCCGCATCCGCATCCGCATCCTCCTCCTTCCTCTCTTCCCTCCTTCCTTCCCTCTCCTCTATTCCTTTTCCTGACGAGTCCACTCATAGTGGTAATTCCTCCCTGACGCACCCCGAGGCCAGTCGGAAGGGCGGGCCTGGCGTTTCGCTTGAGACTTCCTAACCATCCATGACCTTGAAGCTTATAAGTTGGCAACAGCTTCACAGATGGAGGGCGGGTGGTTTTCAAGATATGGCTCTCGCCTTCGCGCCGCGTGCATTCGTTTGAAAAAGTTACAAGAACTTGACTGATTTATATGGTTTTCAAGATTTGGTTCTCGCTTTAGAGACGAGCACATTCATTTCAAAAGTTTGCAAGAGTTTCACCGATTGAGGGCGGGTCGTTTTCAAAATGCATCTCTCGCTCTAGCGCCGCGCACATTCGTCTTTGAAAAATGCAAGAGCTTCATGGATTGAGGCCGGTTCCTTTTCAAAATCTGGCTCTCGCTTCAGCGCTGCGCACATTCGTTTTCCAAATGTTGCAAGAGTGTCACGGGGTCTCATGGCTTACGTTCCACAAGTGGAGTTTTGTCAGGGTGTAACAATTATCTTGATTCGCGTCGTAGTAGTCACATGACTTGTGTTTTGGCACGAATCGGGATCGTCAAGACGCAACAGTCAGGTTGATTCGTGAGAATGGTGTTTTGGCACGCTTAAGGATCTCCACACGGCTGTCTCCCAACGGAACACTTCCCTCAACGAAAATGAAGTATTGCAGGGGCCTATGAGGAGCGAGCTTGGAGGCAGGGTGTATTCCAACATCGTTGATGGGTCTTGGGCTCACATTGGTCCCTCCTCCCTCCTTCTCGTCCCCGACCGCGCGCGCCCAGCGTGCAGCCCCGGCCTTAAGGAAATGTTTTGCTTGTTTTTCTCATTCGCCCACTGTGGGCCTCCTCGGGGTCTGATGTTGCCACGATTGAAGTCGCCTCGAGATCCAGGCAGAAAGCGTCCCGTAGGAGAATGATACTCGGGCGTTGATCGAAGTGGCCACAGAGAGCGGGAGAGGGGGAGGAGGGGTGATCAGGACGAGAAGGAGCATGAGCGGATGGGGGAGGAAGAGTATGAGGGAGGAGGAGGGGGAGGGAGAGGCGGAGGGGGAGGGGGAGGAGGAGGAGGAGGAGGAGGAGGAGGAGGAGGAGGAGGAGGAGGAGGAGGAGAAGGAGGAGAATGAGGAAAAGGAGGCGGAGAAGGAGGCGGAGGGCGGAGGAAACCATGCATTGGGGGGTTGCGCCCTCACATCTTTGAAGAGGCTTGGGACCACGGCCCGCCGAAGGAGGGGAGGGAGGAAGAGATGGAGGAGGAGGAGAAGGTGGAGGAGGATGAGTTAAGGCTCAAAATCCAGTAACGATGGTGCAGTTAATTAGCCCTCCATCCATGTTCCCTTCTCTTAGGTCTCTACAAGCAGTTCTTTGCACTGATGGAAGTGTCCCGTTGGAAGACAACCGTTTGAAAATCCTGAAGCGTGCCAAAACACCATTCCTGGAACGTAAACGCCGCGAATCAACGATAGTGTTGCGTCCTGACTATCCTGAATCGTGCCAGAACACGGCTCGTGGGACTTCAACACCGCGAATCAATGTGATTGGTGCGCTTTGACAGTCTTACATCTTACCGAAACACGCTTTCTGGGACGTCAACCATAAGAATAGTTGAAAGTGCATTGAACTCTTACGTCGAATGTGCGCGGCCCTCAGGCGACTGCCACATTTTGAAGAGGAGCCGCCCTCCATCCGTGAAACCCGTGCAAAGTTTTAAAACGAACGTGCGCGGCGCTAGGGCGAGAGACACGTTTTGAAAAGCGTCCGCCGTCCATCTGCGAAATTCTTGCAAATGTTGAAAACGAATGTGCGCGGCGCTGAGGCGAGAGCCACATTTTGGAAACGACCCGCCCTCAATCCGTGAAACGTTTGTCAATGTTTCAAGACAATGTGCGCGGCGCTACTGCGAGAGCCACATGTTGAGAACCCCCCGCCCTGCATCCGCAAAATTGCTGCAAGTTCTAATCCTTATGATCATAGGTGGTGAGGAAGTCGCTGGCGAAACGGCCGCCCCGCCCTACCGACACGTCTCGGGATGCGGCAGGGATGAGCCACTTATCAGGACACGGATGGAACAGGGGGAGGAGGAGGGGGAGGAGGAGGAGGAGGAGGAGGAGGAGGAGGAGGAGGAGGAGGAGGAGGAGGAGGAGGAG